TTTTTGTAATTCCCACTGGGACCAGCTCGTTTGAACTCGAAGGGCTGAGGGTTTCTGCCGCTCTCTGCGTTTGGCTACGTGGAAAAAAAAAACAATAAAAATAAAAATCATGATGATAGTAGGAGACGCTTGGGGGGGGACTGTACCAGGAGCCGATGTGGGGTTGTGTGAAAGAGCCGAGAGTCCCGTCAAGAATCAGCGGGTGAGCTGTAAAACCGGGTGCTGTCCTCTCTGTACAACCCAGAGCCTCTGTCCCCGAGCAGAACCTCCTCTCCCGATCCTCCGGCCGCGGGCCTTTAGGATCCCAGATCCACCAGGCTGGACGTGAGGGGTCCCAGCAGCGAGTCCTGGAGCTGGTGGCCTTGGAGGCTGTGAGGGGTCTGGGATGCGGCTAAACCGCTCAGGGAGTAGCCGGAGCTCCTGGCGTGGCTGAGGTTCCCCTGCAAGAGCAGGACCGAGTTCTGATCCGGGCTTTGGGGAGGAGAAAATTCTTCCTCGGAGCTGGACATGAGGGGTTTGCTCCCATCCAGAGGCGAGAGTTGGTTCGGTTTGTTGGTGGCCGCGTTGTTGTTTTCCGTGTTCTCCCTGCGGAAAGGGAAAAAAAAAGGAAAAAAACCCCACACAGCGGGGATGTTATGGCGGGCGGGAGGCGCCGGGGATGGGCGCTGTGCTAATGCCCCCGGTAAACCCTTCGCGTTTTCTTTCACCGTGGGAGCAGATGCCTCTCCCCGGGAAAAACAACAACAACAACAACAACAAAACCACCTAATATTTTCATAACGGATCGTCCCTATTTCTTTTCACCCTCCTATAAATAGGTGTACACCGCACAGCCCGGTAATTTAGGTGAGGGGGGGGGATATTTTTTTTTTAGGGTGAATTTTCTATTTTTTATTAAAAATGAAAGCGCGGGGTGCGGGGCAGCGGCTCGGCCCGGGCACCGTGTCCCCATCGCGGTCTCCCTCCGGTTCCTCCCCTCTCCATCCCGGGGTTGCATCTTTTTCCTCCGGGCTTGGGAGCTTCCCTGCCCGATCCCCGGCAATACCCGCCCCGGCATCCCGGAGGCTCCGGGACCGCGTCGCTCCCGGTTTACTCGGGGCAGCAGGCAGCAAACAAAGGCGGCGGCGAAGCCTGGAAAGGCCGGTGAAGGGCTCGCTGCTCCCCCCGGGCAGGTGGGGTCGGGAGGCGAGGAGTGGGGTTCGGTGAGTCTCGAGTGGAAAATCCACTTGGGTTACCACGGGGGTGTGTGTGTGTGTGTGTGTGTAAAAATGCAACGCGGTTTAGGAAAAAAAAAAAATAAAAAGGGATTTGGAGGGAGCGAGGTATTTTCGCCGCTCCCATCCCATCCGCCGCCGGGAGAGCGGGGAGAAAAGCGGGTACGGGGAGGATTGGGGGGGCAAGTACCTTTCCTTCGCCTCCGCCGCTCGGTCCCGCTGCCTCCGGTTCTTGAACCAGTTGCTGACCTGGGTGGTGGTGAGACCGGTGGCTTCGGCCAGTTCCCGCTTCTCCCGGGGGGACGGGTAGGGATTGTGGGCGTACCATTCCCGCAGCACGCCCCGGGATTTCTCCTTGAAGCAATAACTGGTTTCCTCGCCGTCCCAGATGGTGCGGGGCAACGGGAATTTTCGGCGGACGCGGTATTTCCCGACGGCGCCCAGGGGTCTGCCCCGCAGTTTTTCGGCTTCCACGTAGTGAGCCTTCAGCCAGAGCTGCTGCAGCTTGGGGTGGTTGTGGGGGGAGAACTGGTGGCTCTCCAGGATCTTGTAGAGCTCGCGGAAGTTGCCGCGGTGGAAGGCCACCACCGCCTTGGCCTTCAGGACGCTCTCGTTCTTGTGCAGGTGGTCGCAGGCCGGCAGCGACCAGAGGAACCGACCCAAACTCT